GGGGAAAAGATGGACTGCACAAGTTACCGGGGACTGCGACACTCACACTTACACACTCCGAATGTTACTCGGTACAGCAGGGGGAAAAGATGGACTGCACAAGTTACCGGGGATTGCAGCACTCACACACACACACACCGAATGTTATTGGGTATAGCAGGGGGAAAAGATGGACAGCACAACTTTTGAGAGCACCTTAAATCCAACGGAAAGTTCACCGAAGCATCCCAAGGTAACTCGCAACTTAGACATGCATCAAAGTCAGTGAGGGCACAAGTTTGAGAGCATCTAACCCAGCGGAGAGTTCACCGAAGCATCCCAAGGTAATTCGCAACTTATACATGCATCAGAGTCAGTGAGGGCACAAGTTTGATAGCATCTAACTCAGCGGAAAGTTCACCGAAGCATCCCAAGGCAATTCACAACTTAGACATGCATCAAAGTCAGTGAAAACTCAAGACTTGAAGTATCAATGAAGGGGAAACATCACCGAACTATCACAAGGTGAATCGCAACTTACCCAAGCACTCAAATCAGTGAAAACTCAAGATTTGAAGCAACTTATGAGTGGGAACCATCACCGAACTATCACAAGGTGAATCGCAACACATACACCCACCCAAATCAGTGAGAACTCAAGATTTGAAGCAATCTATGAAGGGGAAACATCACCGAACTATCACAAGGTGAATCGCAACACATACACCCACCCAAAACAGTGAAAACACAAGCTTTGAAGCAATCTATGAAGGGGAAACATCACCGAACTATCACAAGGTGAATCGCAACTTACCCAAGCACCTTAATCAGTGAAAACACAAGCTTTAAAGCAATCTATGAAGGGGAAACATCACTGAATTATCACAAGCTGAATCACAATTCATCCAAGCCCCCAAATCAGTGAAAATCCAAGATTTGAAGCAATCTATGAAGGGGAAACATCACCGAACTATCACAAGGTGAATCGCAACTTATCCAAGCCCCCAAATCAATGAAATTCCAAGATTTGAAGCAATCTATGAAGGGGAAACATCACCGAAGTATCACAAGATGAAGCGCAACACCCCC